TCTGCAGTACAAAGGCAGCTGCATCTCTGGCTTTTGCAAAGAACCAGATGAAGTCAAGAAATCAGTAATGAAAGCCAAGGACAATTTATTCGTTGAGAGTAACCTATTTCACTAATGGTCTTGCATCGATATCAGATTAACATAATCAGAGTTTGAGTCCCTCTGCATTTGGACAGATGTCACGGCACATAGCCTTCCTAGTGATTTGGTAAAGTAGGGTGTTAGATACATCCCTGGAAGATGAGCTGTGATGCCGTGAGTTTTAAACCAGCAGATAGGACAGGAGTCCTTTGGAAGACACAGCATTTTTCCTGAACTGAATTGGCTTTTTACTTAGTAACTGAATCTGTATTTCCCCAATAGCCTGCAAGGAGGGTGGCCAATATACTCAACTATTTCTATTGGCTGCCTCCCATTTTATTTTGGTGTAGAGCTAGCTAATACCAAACGCATCTTGAGTGGAAGTCAAGAACAGGAAGATACCGAGTTGAATGCTCTCAGAGGAAAATTCAGCTTCCTCACAAAATCTAATCTACCAGGCAGGAGCTGTCAACATGATAAATATTCTAGGCTTTAATATCGGTTTACATAGCAGGGCAGAAGAAAAGGAGAAATTATTCACATACTCAAAATTTGTTAAAATGATGTTGTTTGACTTCAAGTGACAGAGGTCTAAGGAAATTCAAAGTTAAGATGGAAACTTCTCGGGCTAAGCCCGGTTCTGGACTCTCCAGGGGCCTTCTGATGTATCGATGCCACCAAAGTAATTACACCGCCACGCATGAGCTCTCCCAGGTTCACCATTTGTGAGAATGAGTTCTTTCAATTAATCTTACTGCAAGTTTCATCTGGTACCAGGTGCATGCAGCAGCGAGGGCAGAATTTCAAATTGAACTGGATCTCAGAGTTACAAGTTGGAAATGCCTCCGTGGTAGCATTTACGGGGCACCGAGCACTTTTAGCTTTGAAATCTTACAGAACTGGGTTTTGTACCAGCTCCGCCACTTTATGTATTTGTCTACCAACTATTTGTTGAACACCTACTATGCGCCAGTCCCCATTCGAGGCTCTGGGCAGATAGCTGAAAACTAGACAGATAAGGTCTCATCAGTGATGGAGCTTACATTTTAATGGAGGTACTATAGGTCAGGTTCCCCAGAAAAAGACTCTGAGAGAGACATTTGTGTGCAGGAAGTTTATTGGAGAGGACTTTCCAGCTTAACTGCTATGGGGGAAAGAAAGGAGGAAAGACTGAGCAGAGGGAACAGGTTGTCTGTGAGGCAGTTTCAACAATGGGTGCAGGTGACTCCACAGTGAGTCCGAAGTTGGGATGGCCTTTCAGAATGCCCCCCCTTGAGGTAAGGTGGTCCTCACCTTTAGGCTGGTACATAGGCCATCAATGACTGCGGGCTATCTGGGAAGGGGACATGATCTTGGGCAGGAGGTTTTACAAGCTACAAGCAGTTCTGGGAGAGGTCTGGCCACTGAGGACTCCCAATCACAACACTCACAGCAGTGAGGATTGCAGGTTCTGCAGCCTTGAATGGGTGTCGGGTCAGCGACTGATATTAAACAAACATGTATGTGTACATATAAATACATAGTAGTTAGAGAGAAATGGGGGTAAAAATAAGATGTGGAGTTTTTTTTCAGGTGGAAAATGTTAGAATGTATTTGTACGCAGATGGGAATAATCCAATTTGCTGGTAATGCTTTAAAAAAAAAAAAAGACAAGTTAGATGAGCTACCTTTAGGCAAGAGAAGGTGTCAAGTTCTCCTTTAGGCAAGAGGAGATGGTATCCGGGGCAAAAAAGGAGATCCTAACCATAGGCGGGTTTAGTGACAGCTCACTCCCATAACTGGAAGGATGAGGAGGATCTGGGTGTGGATGGAGCTGGCGAAGTGGGTTTGGTCGTGGGAAGATGGAGCAGCCTCTGTCTGATTGCTTTATGTTCTCAGTCAAACAATCAAGGCCGTCGATTGGGGCTGAAGGTTGGGAATGGGAAATTTAAGGAGGATGGGGAGAAGGTATAAAATTGGTGTCCCCGAATGTGGGATCGTGACTTGACTAGAGCAATGTGGAGTACTTGAGAGTTATGGTTACAAATGAAAATATGCAGTAGTTGTATGTTTTTATCCAAATTCACTCTATATTTGGGGGCAGACACAAGGTAGGCAGGCAGCTCCACCCAACCAGCTATATAGCAGGTGAGTTTAATGAAAGGAATTGAGTTGCTGGGGAGTGGACTAGCCTTGGTGATGAACTATGGATTCTAAGCAGGTAAGAAGGGAAGCAAGGGAATGATAGAAATGCGACTTACTAGCCACGTGACCCTTTGATTCCCTTTACCAAAAGGGAAAAGCAACTCTGCCCAAGCTAATCGACAGTCTTGGAGAGCTTACTCTGGGCTCCCCATGTTTTAGATCCATTCCCAGTTAAATCTCACAAGTCAGTGGGGTCAGGAGGCATTACCCCACCTAAGACTTGGTACATGCTATTTGCTCAAACACTTTTGGCTCCTTGTCTAAGCCCCCTTTTCCAATTCTACAGCCGTCTCAGAGCCACAGGGGACAGTCAGCTGCAATTTCTGAGACACTGATGGATAACCCTTTTGATTTCCAATCTTGGGCAAATCTTCAACCACTTACTTGCCTTAATGAAGAAAATAAAGAGAACTTACTTGCATCATTCTTTGACTGTTGAGATTCTGTGTGCCTCATGATTACCTAGCACACTGAATGTGAGAACAAACAAAGCAGGTTAGGAACAAGTAAATATAAGGTTAGGAACATGTAAATATCACTTGTAAATGTTTTTTTTAATCTCTGTGACAACACAATGAGTAAATTGAGATTTTTGAGGGATTAAGTAATTCATCCCAGCATATTCAACGTAGAAATGGCATAGCCATTTGAAACCAGGTGTGAAGGGAAAACTCCAAAATCCACACAGTTGATGTTGCGTTCACTGACTCCCATGGGCCTGAGAAGTGGGAGGAGCCTAGGCTGGAGCCCCCTTCATCCAGCCTGCACTTCTCAGAAGCAAAGAGGGATTGGGGATGCATTGGAGGTGGGATTGGATCTCTCAGACATGCAATTAGTGAATAAGGAATCTGCGATAGAACTTGCTCCATGCATGTATTAGAAAATGCCAAGAGTGTATTTTTATTGTGAGATTTGTGAGGCCTTTTTATCATTTTGGAAGTTTATCCCACTTTTTTTTTCTGTTCCTTCATTAAAAATCCCTGAAACATATGAAAGGAGCTCAGGGCGTGCTCCATAAACAGAGGATAGTTGGGCCCGAGAGGCCTGGCTCACGCTGCAGTGGACCAGGGAGCATGTTCAGCCCTAATGCAGTGAAGGGGACAGCTAAGGTGCAGGAAGCTGGGCCAGAGGAGAAGACAGATGGTGAGAGAGAGGTGGGGAATGTGGACAGGTGGGCCATCTTAGGAACAAGAAAGATCGCCTCTGGTGTTCCTAGGAGCAGCCAGCTATCTTCCTTCACATCGGTTGAAGGAGAGAGCAGAGGAAACAGCGCTAATTTGCTCAACTTGACCTTCTAAGTTTATAATAAAAGGTTTTTTTAAAATAAATAACCACAGTGTACTGTGACGCACATTGACGGTGATGAACACATCCCATGTTGTATGAGACTTTCTCAATTTTAGCATTGAAATTTCTGCATCCCAGAAGCCCTCTCAGTCCCAGGCAAAGCAGGGTGGTTGGTCACCCTGTGATACCTTCCAGCAACATAGGAACTATACTTCTTTCAAATATGCTATCCCCATATGAGTACACACATACATATCAGGCCATGGATTTTCTATTTTTAGATAGAAGATGCCCTAACCCTACTGCATCATGGGAACCAAGAAATTTTCTCCTGCTTCTGCTTATCCAAGAAAGAATTAAGGCCTTGGTAATATAAAATAGCTTATTGGATTATTCTTTCTCCTTTGTGTTCTAAGAACTCTCCTCCTGCCAGAATATTTTGAGCTCTTTTCCCTTGTTCTTAGAAACATAGTTTCCAACATAATGTAGATGGCATACAAGTGTGGGCTAATTAAGCTTTGACACATTGCCATGTTCTATGACATGACTGTAGCATGCTTCATGTAGGAGAGAGAAAAATTAGGAAGAGTATAATCAGGTTTTCATTTCTTCTAACACAGGCGTCCCGATGCGATCTGTCACCCTCAGTGGAGGTGCTTCAGGTTAGGAGCTAATGCTTTGGTATGAATAATGGACATATGATTGCTATTTTCTCTCCGCGAGTGTGTGCCTGGCTTCTTGGGAAGAGAAAAATAGTCCAACTTTACATCTCATCTATAAGCTGAGGACAAGAGGATAAGCATTTACTATATGCAGTCATGGGGAGGGGAAGAATGAAGCAGCAGTGTGATAATAGTGACTGTATGAAATTATTTTAATAAATGTATAAGCACTACTGAGGAAGCTGCTTCCAATCAGCACTTAAAAACTCTCCTGTGGATGCCCAAGCCTTTGAGAAAATAGAGAATCTCTCAGTTTCTAATAAAGGGTGGCAAAGAAACTCTCCCTTGAATTAAAAGTATAGATCAAATGGTTTTGCAGCACTAATTATCCTTTGCCACATTCATCCATTTCTGATTTAATTTAGGTCTGTATAATCATTTGATTAATTCTGTCTTTCCCATTAAATGGTAATCCTTGAACATAAAGACCACATGTTCTTTCCTATGGTCCCCAGAACCCAACACAGAGTGTAGCATCAGGAAGGCACGCGGTGATTATTTGTTGAAAGAATGAGGAGCAGCGCACCCCTCTTCTGAGAGCCAGTGACACCTCATCATGTCTCTTGCCCGTGACTCACCCACTGCAGCGTACTCCTAGGTTTCATCGTCTGCTTCCTCACCTCCAGCCACCTGAAGGCAACCATCACTGAATTCCCAGGACTTTCATAGTGCTGGGCATGCAATAAATGAGTGTTGCATGAATGGCTGCTTAAAAGGGTGTGATGCATGCTCACTTCGGCAGCACATATACTGAACTTGGAATGATAAACAGAGAAGGTTAGCCTGGCCCCTGCGCAAGGAAGACACGCAAACTCATGAAACGTTCCATATTTTTCTAATGCCAGTATCAGTGAATGTGGCATGGTTAAAGAAAATATAATAAACCTATACTTGGATTTACTGTAAAATAAAAGGATGTGATGAAATTGGTATTAATTTGCTTTTGCCTAGACTTATAATATATTGCATGGACAGCAGGCATTACACAGAACCTTCATCCATCAATATTTTAGGTAGCTGATCGCCTGATCAGCGTGTCTTTCCTGCCAAGAGTGATCAGGACTCTGCAGAGATAGTTGTTATTGAAGAGAACACTGAATGAAGAGCTGAGATCAGCTTCCATTCTTGGATTTTTACCAATTTCTTGCCTGGCTTTGGCAGGTGACTATTCTCATTGTCTTTTATTTTCTGTAACATAGACATTAATAAGACCTGGTGTCCTCATCTCTTAGGGCTCTTGTGAGAAATACATGGAAAAAAAAGATAATAATAAAGTTACTGGGAAAAGTATAAATTAATACCCGAGGTGACTTATTTCCTTCCTTTATGGTTCACTAGAGGCACCTTTGCATTTCTGACAAGTCTATAACTGTGGTTCTCTTTTGTGAATTCTGAAGTCATACATCCAAGAAATAACAGTAGGAAATGCTTTTTTACTAGATGAACAAAATCTAACCAAGGTTTCCTGGAGGCCCCAGAAGACCTTTTGAGAACAAATATTGCCCAGTTATTCATCTCCAGAAGAGAAACTCTGCATTGCTTGTTTATTTTAAATAAAGTTTGTATGTTTTCCCATTGTAAAAGCTTATAAGAGACAAACAAAATAAAGATGGAAGAAAAAATACACATAGTCCCACCTTTGAGAATCAACCAACGTTAATATTACACTGTATTTCTTTCCAGTATTTTTTCAATAAGTAGCTATTCTCTTGCAAAAGATAGAATTTTATATCTTTTTTATTTTTCCACTCTATTATAAACTCCCAGTAACATCATCTTATGCTGACTATATAACTCAGCTTTGTAAGATGTTATAAAGATGAGAGTGTGAATCTATTCCAAATGATTCTGAATAAGGATTCAATAAATGTTAGCTGCTGCTGTTATCAATAATGACAACATAATTATTGTCATTATTAATATCACCATAATTTGCTTAATGTTCTCTGATGTTAGACATGTAGAGTCTTTCTGAACATTTGGTATTGGGAATAAGTTCTACACTGCTAATTCTTTCCTTATTAAACTTCCTCAATGTGCTAAGGAGTTGTCATGCTTATTTAAAACCTCCCCAGAAGCAAGGAACATATAAAAAAAATTCTTTTTAAATAACATAATACCTAATATTCCTTTTTCTCTTTAGTCTTTCTGTACTGGACTCAAAAGTAACGTGCACGGGTGTTAGAGCTGGGATCTCAGAAAGCCTGTGAGAATGTACCAAGTTCTTGGTGCTCGAAGCCATGTCTGCTCATGTTGGTAGCTTAGGGCATTTGTCCTCTTAGTAGAGCTTTGCCTTCTTGTCATCATCATTTCTAAGCAACAAACAAACAGAAGATGACTGTGGGCTGGGTGGTCACTCTAAGTCCTTACGAAACTGTACCTGGACAGTTCCAGCCAACCTGAGTCCTACAGGCCTAGTGGGCCCACAAGAGGAGCTTTTAAGGGCCAGGCTAAAGCAGACAGGTACTCATAGAGACAGCATGCCGGTGGCTAAGCACATGGGCTCTGGGTTCACATAGGGTTCCAGTTCTGCCTTTTAGCTATATGGCCTTGTGTATGTGAGGTAACCTTCCTAAGCTTCATTTATGGATGTCTACGATGGGGATGAAAGCAGTGCTTTCCTCCTGGGGTTGTGAGGATTTGTAGCTAGAATATATGTGAAGCTCTCAGTGCAGTGCCTGGTACGGAGACACGGCCCTGTTGTTACCATCATCACCCTCATCCCTCCTCCCTCTTCCACCTCCTTCTCTAAGTGACCTGAGGTAGCATTTGTGAGACAGCACATCACATGCTATCAAGGAGAGGAACTGGGATTGTAGCCTGGAAAGTGGTACCAAGTGTGCAGTCTTAAGGGTGAGATAAGGCTAATAATAGAAATATAAGTAATTTTGGAGGGATAAAGAGTAGCTCAGGTTGTACAAAGAAGTCTAAGCCTGAGTTTATGAAAAGTGCGAGAACTTTCCATTGAAGGTCTGTTTTTATCTGGCTCTTATTTGGCCCGTAACAAAGGATCTATTGGCCAAGAGGTTCACTCTTCACTGGAGGTCCATTTGTGACTTGAAAAAAAATAGAGAGAGAAAGAGTGTGGGAGTGGGGGGGATAGAGAGGGAGAGAGACTATTGATGGTTTTACCTCAGTCTTTCTCTCTCTCTCTCCCTCTCCCCCCCTTCCCCCTGCCCCCTTTCTAGATGAGGAACAGAAACTATGAGTTGATTTTTGTCTCAAAGAGCCCTGCCTTCCTCAACCATAATATATGCCAATTTAAAAAGAATACTTTTTGCTGCTTCATTATTAACTAGAATCACTTAGGAAAAAAAATCACATAAAAAGTCACATTGTATCCCATTAGGCACATTCTTTTCTTTTATTATTAAACAGGTTCAAAAATCAATTAAGATTCAAATAACTGGAAATAACTGGGTAAAGTCCCCATTGCAGTTCGAAGGAAGAAAATCACTTTTTGGTGAGAACATAGTCTTGGCTTGACTGCATGAAAATGATTTGCCTTATGTAGTTGTCAGTTTCCCTTCTATGGATTTCTAGAATCCATCCGTTCCTATATATGCTTCCAAATCCATCCTAACCCAACCATAGTCTCTTTCCAAGACAATTTAATAATCTTCTCATTGGTATCAGCTACCCCTGCCTTAGCTTCCAGTTCATCCTCTGTTCTCTCTACCCGAAGGCTTTGAAATGAGAATCCCTCCCCCCTCCAACACTAGCTCTTGAAAACCTTTCAGAAAGAAAAGACATTGAATAAATGGATATTATCTAGATTCTCTAGTTGAGTCTTTCAGGGGTACTTTTTATCGCCACTTGCCATTGATGCAAGACAAAGGCAGCCAAAGGAACTATTTCTAATCAGGGGCCTGGGTTCCCAATTTGTAAGCTCTTGATTTTATGTCTATTATAAAACACATGGTCACGAACTTGGTGTCCTCTGTGACTTTTTCTGCTAGTGTGAAAGAGGGGGAAAAAAATGGACTGCACAGACAGAGAGACCTTTGTTTAAACTTCAACGCTACCTGCCACTCAGTGCAGCAATGGCCCTGGGGAAAGTACTGAACCTCTAGAAGCCTCAGTTTTGTCATCTGTACCTATGTCATAGGATGGCTGTGAGGATTAACTAATACTAATAAAACAGCAAAATGCCTGGAATAATGATTAAACACTCACCAAAGGGTAGCTCTTATTTTTGCTATTATTGCCATAATTTCTGTCAAATTGCTGTCATTATTGTTTATCATTATTATTATCAACATATAGAAATCTGTGATCTGATTCTCTGATCTCTCCAAGAGATCTTAGGATGACTAAAAGTATAGGCTCTTACTAAGCAACCCCACAAATCTCTCTGTTATCCTTTTACAATGTCTACTACCCGTGGATGACTTAATAAATTTTTTTTTTAAATATAATGAAGACGGCAATATCATTACCATCTGATAGATCCCAGGATGAGGGAAACGTCTAGGGCAGTGGGAGTCCGACCCATAGCTTTCAGACTGTTCTTACTTACCCAGCTTGGGAGTATTCATCACAGCCACGTCCTTCCCTTCCGTGGTCTGAGCAAAGAGGGCTGTTCCGAGTGACCAGAAGGTGACAAAGGTGGGGAAACAGTACTTCCTGATTGAGGTGATAATTGTTCACAGTTTATTCAACAATATTATTGAATTTGTATTGAAAAGGTAATTTCATGCTCCACGAAGTAGCAAATTTGAGTTATATGCTAGGAAGGTAAAAGAACAAATACGATGTTGACAGTAATAATTATATCCCACCCTACAACCAGGCAAGGTAAACAGTTCACATCACTTTGGCATGAAGCATGCTTTCCCTTCCTACCTTTTTAATAGACCATCCAAGGACAGGGCATCATAAGATAACAGAAGTCGCTTTGTTGGAATTTACAGGCCTGATATTTTCCCTAAGTAGTAAATTATTGTGTTTTGTTCGTTCTGCTCAGGAACAAATGTGTTGCTTGCTAATATAAATGAATGAATTCCCATATGAATAGGCTAGACACATTCTCCGTATCTCCAAGTTGTCACAGTCTTTATCTAGCCTCAGTCATAGCTTTGATTTAAGGAGGCTCCGGTCCTGGAGGAGGGAGCTTGTGGGAGCACAGGCTTGCTTCTTCTGAGTGTCCTTCTGGATGTAATTTCTTTGCTCTTTGCTTTGTACGGTGGGTAGCAATTTCTTTTTGCAGTGATGCTGCTGCTATGGATGTCTCTGTCTGAAGAACAAGGGCTCAGTAATGTTTCTCAAACCAGAAGGACTCTGCTCCTCCTTCAGACTCATCTAATGAATGATTACACGGTCAGTTTCAGGAGCAGATTAATCATAGAATTTATCCTGAGTAGGGCTGTTGATGTCATTTGTATCAACGCTTTCTATGAAGCCCCAGGGGAAATTTCTGTTAGACCTGGGGCAATGGTGCCTCTCAAGAATACGACCCCTACTTTGCATGGTTATTATGGTTTCTGGGACCACTCCACTGGCTATGTTTTCCTTCTTGCTTTGACCACTAGGATGCTAGTGCAGGATTTATGGCCCACCTAGCGCTGGAAAATGGTCCGTATTTATGTGGCCTCACCTGCCTCCAGTGTCCTCTTACTACTAAAATCTTATCTTGCTTCTACCTTGATTAACTTATCTATATTTGTTACTTTTTTGAGTTTTGAAAGTAATGTTATATGTTTAGGTTAAAAAAAACAGTTGTATAAAGTTAAGACCCAAGTTTCACTCTCTCCCTACAGAAAGTCATTGTTGACAGTTCAGCAGTATGTATCCTTTTAGATTTTTTTGGTAGACATAGTCAAATATAAATAGCAT